GCACAAGGCTCTGATACCATATAGTTTGGAAGAAGAATTGTGCTTCTTATTTTTATTCAAGAATGACGATTACAATTTAAATAGAAGGAAAAAGGCCACCGATTTAGGAAGCCATAAAATCAGGAAATAAAATGGCATATCTCTAGGCTACAGATTAGAAAACATATAGGATTTCCTAGTTTTACTCCCTAGAAATCCGACAAAATCTTTTTCCTTTTAATAGTTAATGACATTTATTGATGATCACACTACAGTCTTATTAGGTTTACATTCTAAAAGGAAGGTCTAACGCTGCAAAGGTTTTTACAAAATTTTATGTCATGATTTGCACTTAATTGCAAACACAATTCAAATCCTTTACAACAAAAAATGGTAAGAATATTTTAATGCTATTCATGGACATTTTAAAAGAACATGGCATTTTTCATCAATCTCCATGTTACAAAACTTCTCATCAAAATAGCATTGATATGAGAAAAATGTCACTTACTAGAAGTTGTTAGGGTTATCATGTTCACTATATCTTCGGATGGAAATAGCTCAAACAACTTACTCATGCATCGGATTCCACAAAAGATCTAAAATCTTCAAAGACCTCTTGATGCCTAAAGAAAAAATTTCTCATGCTAGACTTTTTAAATAATTTCCACTAAAAAATTTGGACGCTTTGCCCTTTTTGACATTCATGTTTTAATCTTAGAGAAAATATAAGATAAGAACGGACACTGACATGACACGAGCACGACACGTGACTTTTAAAGAAAAGTAGGTCTTAGACACATGGAGACACATCAATTTGAATTCTTTAAAATTGTAGAGTCACATAGTATACTTTTAATTTTAGCCACTGTGTGGGAGGGATTCACGCCAAAATTTTAAGTGAATTTGTGACCATTGGCAATGCACATGGCCCCATCGCTGGCTTTTTATTACTGCCATCATGTTAGAATTATCACAAAAAGTCTATATTACCCCTTTCCTTGCTTTGAATTACTTATACCCCTCAACCATCATATTTGACAATTCTTAAAGGCCATATTTGGAATGGCTAATTAGGTGATAATTTATTGAAAAGGCAATAAAAAAAAAAAAAAAGGCTACAATGGCACCCATTTCTGAATTGCCAATGGTCAAAATACCACTTAAAATCTTGTAAAAATCCCTCTAAGACAGGGGCTTATACTTTTTATTTCTAATACAGTACATCAAGAAATCTTTTAAAATCAGAGGAGCTATTTCTTATACTCAAGTAACTTTGAGTTAGTATATATTGCTACCACCATAAGGGGAAAAATATAATAATTAAAGTTCAAAGCGACTTTTGTAGACTATATTGTTCCAAACAATTTAGCCCACGTTTGATGGCTATTATTTGGCACAAACAACATTTTGAATAGTGAATTTTTGGCAAATGTGTAGTTAAAAAGTAGGGAAAAATTTTAAATTTACGTGTAGAATATTTTATTGTTTAAACGTGCAATTGAAAATGATTATATAGAATAAAGACGTGAAATAATGGTTGTCAAACAGAAGTTTAATTTATTTTTATTTACTATAGTGTTCGTGGCGCGAAAACAGAATTGAAATTCTTGAAGCAAGAATAAGTTGAAAACACGAAAAAATGTAGAGAATAATTGATTAAAATAAATTGGTTACTCGATAAGTGTACAAAGCCTAGGCAAAATAATTCCCTACTTTTATAAGGAAAGAGAACTAAAATATAGAAGGAAACAAAATAATAATCTTTAAAATATATATATATATATATATATATATATAAAAGAAATATTCTAGTCAAGAAAGAAAAAAAATTCATATTCTAAACTAAAAAAAGAAGAAAAGAGATAAAACTCTATTACAATAAGAAATCCTATTTGGAATAGTCATACATTCTTTCTTCCACTTGAAGAAAAACTCGTCCTCGTGTTCGGTTGAAGAAGAGAGAATCAATCAATCAATGGAAAATCGAAAAAAATTCAACTATGTGATATTGAACAAATGTCTATCTCTTTATTGTCCTCAATATCATTTGAATGACATCAACATTGCTTCTAAATTGCTATCTTCTCATCCTAAAGGACACTTCGAGTGTGACATTTCTTTAGAAACAATGATTCATTCAAGCTCTCATTCTTGAATCCCCTTTGTGAACATATGAACTCTGGAATTTTCAATTGTTTGTGCTTATGTCCCCCCCCCCCCCCCCCCAGTGATATCATCTTCAATGCTACACGTCCCACTATTTTCCTCGTGTTTATGCAATTCTTTGGCATTCAAATTGCGAAGAAGGTCAATGAAATTTTTATTCTTAATTTGACATGCCTCATGTTTGACTCCTATAATTAGCAACTCTGTAACACGAACACTTCAACTTCAACTAGGGTAGCATATCTATGTCTGATACGTGTCGATACCAACACTCCTCGAACACACTGTCATAAATATTTTTCTCTTTTATTGAAAATATTATATATTTTAATTCAAAAGTATTAGTAAATAATAAATATGTACTATATTTAAAAGATTTCATCAAGAAAAATTAATAATAAGTGTAAAACTAAATTTTATATTATATAAATGAAGAATTTTAAAGAATTTAATCAACGACGATTACATGCTATGTCAGTACTTTTTTGAAAATCACGTGTCAATGTATTCGACGCGTATTGTATGAACACATGAATCCGTGTTGGTGCATCATAAACTAGCAAGGTCAATTCCCTATTTTTTCCTGTTGGACACTTATCTTTAACTTGTTTATCATCAGAGTCTAGCTCAATCTTCGGGTCTTCAATTGCAATTTCACTAATATTTTTTATCCTGGCACTTGTATTAATTGTCAATGTCAATTTCCATGTATAATGCATCAGTAGCTCTTGAGTTTTAAACTTTCACATGCTTCTCTAACTCTATTTTAGTACCATTGTAGACGACATTTTGATCATTTTGAATGACATCTTTTATAACATCGCCATCTGCATTATAATTTTTTTGTTTCTTTTTTGGTACAGGTATTCGCAAGTGCTTATCACATAACAATAGAAAAATGTTTTATCATACAATCAAAATACCTACATGTTATCTCTACCAATATAAGTGGCATCAACACATACCAATTTTGGAACAAGAATTAAGTTGAAAACACGAAAATATAGAGAGTATAATTTAATTATAATGAATTGTTTGCTTGAAAAGTGCACAAAACGTTTTTAAGATTTCTTTATAGGCAAAATAATTCGCTGATTTTATCAAAATAAGGAAAACTAAAATCATGAAATGAAAGAAAACTGAAATTCTAAAAGAAAAGTAAATTAAAAATCCTAAAAGGAAATAAAATTCTAATCTAAAAGAAAGAAGAAATCATATTCTAATAAAGAAAGAAAAAGAAATCCCATTCTATATAAGAAAGAACAAGGGGGAAGAAATATAGAGCCTATTACAACAAGAAATTATATTCGGAATAAAATTGTCCTACATCAGTCGAAGGAGTGTCGATATCGTACACAACACATGTTGAATGCAAACACACTATCCTAATAGGAGTGTCCTTGTGTCATAGAATATGAGTGTTGAAGATCATTTTGGGAAATTTACTCACATTTACCTCGATAATCTATTAACAACTTCACCAAAACCTCCTAGCCATCCTTGATCAATGTCCTAAACAACCAAGTCCAAACATGTGCTTCCATTAAAGAAACTGTGGTAGGTAGAGAACAACTAACTGAAAGAACTCAACATGAGCTCTGCGTCTATTACAGGAGGAAAAATCCTCAAAGTGGTGTAGAAAATTAACCTCTTGTAGATCCTCAAGAGTCCAATCCGAAAATAAAAACTTGTAAAACATAGGTAGGTCAAATATCATGACCTAGCTGATGCAAAGCATGACTGAACATGGAGGCGGGTCTATTGTTTAAGGGGATCAGCCCGCAAACAAATAGTGTTTGGGTGGGTTCTGGGACCTGATTTTAGGATATATAGAGTTTGATTAGACCTATCTTATAAGTTATAACTTTTGAGGAAAGTGTTCACATCTTGCTACATTGGTTTCTATCAAAGTTGGAGGAGTCACGTGTTCGATTCTCCTAAATATGAGGGTGAGTCTATTTGTAAGAGGGTAGGGCTTATTTGTAAACATGGAAAATTATCTCAATCAAAGCATTTAAATTTGTCACATACTCATTTTGTTATGTTGGTTAACAAAGATATATTTTACATCCAATCAAATCGAATCCAAGAGAGGCTATAATTAGTGATAACAATATTCCACATAAAATGGGGAATTCCATACTTTTTAAGGAGTGGTTCAAACTAAGAAGAATTAGGTAAAAGGAAGTACCATTACACCCTTGAAATTGATAACTAGTTTCACTTGAGCACCTTATCTTACTTTCCTTCTTTGAGTAAGCCCTTTTTCCTTTTTTGTGTAAACAATGAACTACAATTCCCATTCTCATGATCTAGTATGTAAGGATGTTTTAAATAAAATGGAACCACTTTCCATTTCATACCATTTTTTTTTTTAATGACGGGGGTAGCCGCTACCTTTCGAATACGCACTAGGTAAACTCTCAATAGCCTGCAAACCACGCTAGCTAAGTAAACCGCACTAGGCAAGCCCTGTGCGACAGACTTGACCGAGAAAGTGTTGGTAGAGGGAATCGAACTCGTGATCAAAAACTTCCGCGCTCACCTACTTCTTCATGCCTAAGCATTCTTTTTCCCTTTCATACCATTTTATTGTTGCATCTTTGACTTGTTCATGCCTAAGCATTCTTTTGTTTGCCCATTAGAAATGAAAGTTTCTTTTTAATAGTTTTCACCTATAATTGAAGATTTTATATACGCCAAGTTTATTCTATTGTTAGCTGCAACTCTTTTCTCCAGAAAAAGTAATATAATTCTTAACAATCATTAAGAAATGAAAATTTTTGTGCGATTTCTACCGTTTTTTAACCCTCCACATATATAAGTAAGACACAAAAACATTATTTTTTTACCTTCTTGGGCCTCCCCAAAGGTTTTCCAGATAACTTTCTGAGCTTTTTGAGCCTCATCGTAGGCTGCTTCAAGGGTTTCTTCGCCTCTCCACCTCCCTTTGGTGGTCGTCCTGGACGCTTCCGTACTGCCAGTGCAACTCCCCCAGAACCCACCACTAATGTGGCACCAGTAGGCATCCCCACAGCAACAGGTGCCACAATTCCACCAACGGCTGCAGGTGGAGTGACCCCAGCCACCACATCCCTAGGCTTTGGCGGTCTTCCACGTGGCCTTCCGGTCACCTTCACCACACCAGTAGCTGAAACCATCTTCTTTGGCCGTCCTCGAGCAGTCATCCCAGTCACAACACCAGCAGAAGAAGAATCGCTCTTTGGCCTCCCTCTTGGCCTCTCGACACTAACCCCCAAACTCTTAAACGGTCGACCAGGTCCCTTCTTTAGTGCACCTTGGTTTGGCCCACCCTGCTTAGGCGGACGGCCGCGGTCTCTTTTCTTTCCGTCTCCAGCACCAGAAGCATCACCATTTACCGACCCCATAGAAACATACACAGACCCTGGTCCAATAGCCATGTTCAATTTAGTCCCCGGAACAACAATGGGTACGTCATTGGTCACGGGCATGGCCAGATGTGCTTCAGGAGCAAAAACAGGTATAACATTCGGAACCGCAGCTTGAGCGTACTTGGGGGGACGACCGGGCCGTCTTTTGGGCCCAACAGAAGCAGGATTAGAAACGGAATTACCATTTCCATTTGCAGTAACAGGTACACTAGTAGATCTAGGAAGCTTGTAAGAGTTCTTCACCATGAGTACCTGACCGCTGTTCTTCAAACGTTTCATATGGTGAGTCAACAGCGCCGAGTGAGTGGGTGGCAGGTTCGAATACTGACTCTCTATGTACTTAGCTATGGCCCTTTTGCTCGACCCATTTCTCTCCTTCAAAGCCCCAATTGCCGCCGTTATCATCTACCCAAACAACAAAATCAAACCCAAAAACTTACAAATTAAGCAAAAATTAGACAAAGGGTCTTTCCAGTTAAACGTACCTCAGCATAAGTTGGGTGGTTGTTAGCGGGGACTTTAGTTGGAGTTGGGTTCGCTGCGGGAGCTATGTGAGCTTCAGCTGTTATGTCAGTAGTTGAAGGTGGTGGATCCATTGATGGCTCCATGCATATACATAAAATTTATCTGTATCTATATGTAGACAGAAAAATTGAAAACTGAAGAGGAAGAGGCACGGGAGGAGACTATTAGGATAGGGATGAGAACGGTGATGTAGTAGTGGGGTCCGTCGGGTGTAGTGAGAAATTGGCTCCTGGGTGTCTTTATCTGCCCTTTATTTATTGCATTTCATCTTCATAAATTGGCCATTCAGACCGAGTTAAAACACCCTGGCTTTTTATTTTTTTATTATTTATTTATTTATTATTATTATTTTTTTTTTGTCCCTGAATTGGCTCTGTGGTGGCAGTGCCGCAGTGGCATTATCGATTCTTTTTGGTGTAGTTAGAATTAAATTTTTAATGAATTTTGTTAAAAATTAACAAAATATGCAATTGAAAAACTTTTAAAAATTGTAGGTATCATAAAATATATAGTTAAAATTAATTATTGGCATTAATTTTTTTTTTTATTATTAAACTTAAAAGTGCTAAGTTCAGATTGAAAGGTTTAAACTCCTGTTTGGTTTGGCAAAAAATCAAAATTTTAATAAATATTGATAAAAGTTATGAATTCCATAAAATATGTAGTTAAAAATGAGTTTGTGAAATTTTAAAAAATGGAGGCTAAAATGTTCATCGTGAAAAATTTCCAGTTTCTTTAACTAACTCCAACTTAATAATCCAACCACAACTCAAAGAATAGGAATCTACTATTACATTCAATTAAGCAATTTTGCAACAGATAAAGATTTTATTATTTGTTTAAAAGAAAATCTAATATACTACCTCATGTTAAAAATGAATAATACTATCTAAGAGCATTTCTAAGAAACTATTTAAACATAAGATACTCTCTATTTTGAAAAAATAACCTTTAAAATCATGTGTTTAAGAGATTATTTAAATAAACATTTTAATTTAGAGAGTAGGTTAAAGAGTCAAACTCATTCTCGTTTCGATAATTAAATGCATTGAAAGTATTTCAATTTTCAATATAGGAAAATAATGAAATAATTTAGAGAGAGGCTAGTGAAAATAAACTATTAGATAAAATAATAAATATTTTTTAGGAGTAATAAAATTAAATGTTCAATATAAAGAGTTTGTTAGAGTATTTCAAAATTTTAATTCTCTAAATTTATATATACTCTCCAAATAATAGAATATGTTCTTTAAAAATAGAAAATCTTTTGAAGATGCTCTAATACTAGTGGTGTCGTGTTGAACACCACCTTATATGACATGTAGATAACATTAAATGATAATATGGTCAATTAAACCCTTGTTTGGTTCCCATTATTTCTAAAATATATTTTTTCTCTTTTATTTTTAACCGCACATTATCCAATAAAATAATATTAAAAACAAAGTCAAAAAAAAATCTTATATTTTAACAACTCATTCACCATCAAAATACTATTTCAAAATGCACTTTGAGCAAAACAAAAAAAATAAAAATAAAAAAGGCCTCTAAATGTGATATTATGACTCATTTAATTGAATCAATTATGTGTTGCTGCATATAATGATGTTATAGCGCCAATCGTACTATATAACATTATTAGTTGAAAAAATCATCCATGAGATGTATGATTGAAAACCGCAAATATGTTGTGCATACATTGCTATCCATCATCTTAAAATTTCATCAATTTATAAAATTTCAAATGAAACTTACACGTCAAAGGAAAAAATAAATAAATAATATATATATATATATATATATAGATTTTAATTCTTTTAAAATACCCGTTCACTAAAAGAAATCATCTTCCAATTAATCCTTTCACCCATCCAACCCAACATTTGAAACCTCGTTTTTCGCCTCTTGTTACCATCTTTCTTCATTCTTAAATAATGATATTTAAATGACGAAATTTAATAGATTCAATTAAATGAATCACGTAATTTTACATTTAAGTAAATTTATTATTTAATACTATACCGTTGTCACCTAAACTAGTGTTTGATATCAATGATACTGAATTACAATGCTCTACATTTTTCGGTCTTTTTTATTGCCCTTCTTTTACCATCTTATTTCAGCGCATTTTAGAAACTTGAGAGCTCTTGAGGAAGGAATTTTAAAAAAATAAAACAAAAATTGAAGGATTGAATTGATTTAATTTTTGCCTTCATGCAATCGTCTTTTTCCCTTTCAAGGTTCAATTTTGATTTTATTTTTTCAACTAGTGAAAACTAAGTTGAAATTGAAAGATTTGAACTTTTACCAGGTTTTGAAATTTCAAATCTCTTTAATTAACTTGCTGTGTTTTGTTAATGAATGGTGTGACCTTGAAGTTGAAGTCCTTCTCGTCTATTACATTTAATCCATTATTTTCACGATAAATAAATATTTGTTCTTTTGCTTTTAGGGAGATATCAACAACTATCTAATTTTGGGTCTATGGGGATCTAAAAATATTTTGTGATAAACATTCAGAAAAACATTTTTCAAATTCGCGCAAAATCTTTAGAATTAATTTATTTTCATTTTCATACCCTTTCATGGATGAATTCTACACATATTTCACATCTACGATTTATATACACAACATATATCGTTGTCAAGAGAGAATTTCTTATTAGTTAGGTTAGACATTTTAATTTCAAAAAAGTTAAAAAATGATATAAAGTGCTCAATGATACTACCAAAAATCGCCAATGATAGCTTATTTGTCAAAATCACTACAACAAAAATAGCATTTTGAAACGTTTAAAATATGTTGCTGAAGGTCTTTTGCAACGTTCGAATGTATGTTGTAAATCTCGATGTTGCCATAGAGTAGAAGGATACACCGTCTTTTGAAAGTTGAACATTGCGAATAACATTTTTGCAACGTTTTTTGAAAGTTGCGAATAACCTTTTTCGCAACATTTTTTAGTGTTGCAATAAACCATTTTACAAAAATTTTTCTATGTTGTGTATGATTACATCCTTATTTTTCGGCAACATTTTGTTGATCGTTGCCGTAGGTCATTTTACATTTTTTTTTAAGTTTGTATTTTTTTTTTTTTATTTGTAGAGCAATTTATACAAATCAACCACAAAACAAGATTGAAAATAACAATATCAAACAACTCAAATAATTATTAATTGACTCCAAAATGTAACAATATCCATACGAAATTGAGATCGAAATTTTAAAATACCAAAAAATCCAATACATTTTCGCCCCCCACAAAAAGAAAAAAAAAGAAAAGAAAAGAAAAAAGAAACTCCACAAACCAAGAAATGAAGCTATTAGATTACAGAAGGGACAAGTGGACAACTCTGTAACACAAGGCTTCCACAATGTAGTGGCTGAATACTGGTTGTCCAATAGACATGGAGACTCTTTCACCTAGTCAAATTAAAAAAATATAAAATTAAATTGCAATCGAAACAATAGGATGACAAAATGGTAGAAAAGAATGTTTAATTTATTGAGTAATTACATCAGGGAATATAGGAGTTGTGACATCTTTTTGGCACAAATATGGAGCATTCTGCATCACGTGTAGAGCGGAGGGCAAAATAATAATGATTAGAATTTGGAAAGCAAATTGACCACATAAATAAATCACGTGAAAACTACTGATACCTCACACATTTCCTATTTTTCATCATCTCACATTCATTAAGACAGTCGTACGAACTAATATTCAATCAAAGTTCCTCCATGTTTAAGACAACATAATGTGTTTATCCTAAATAGAGCAAAGCAAAAATGGAACCTTTGAAATGCTTAGCAAAAATGGAACCTTTGAACTGCTTAGCTGTAAATAAAAACTGTAGTCACTAAAACGAAATTAATTTTGGTTTAAAATAACGAAATAAATTACAAATTGCATTCCATTGGTCAAACAAAGGATACAATACCCACATTATATGTTTTTCTTACTACTAAACAGAAGAAAAGATAAGACCAATTTGAACACATGCTCGTGATTAATACAATGGCAATACAATGAAAATGCCACATAATTTCTACTTAACACTTACAACAACCCCCATCAACCAAAATCCCTCATTTTTTTTTTCATAATTTTAAACCCACAAAGTGTAAATTGGGAAATTTTAACAGAAGACAAAACACAACATTATCTCTAACAATAATATCAAACCCCATAGCCCAACAATAGAATCCCATAAATTAGCAATTGAAAAGATCCAACGAAGGAAAAAACTTACCTCTACCTTCCTACTATATACTCAAGGTTCAACACAAAATGTATAACCATATTCTTTTTAATTGTTCCCTTGATCTTCTGACTCTCAATCCTACTATAAAGTCAAATCAACAAGCAAGATTTTGACATAATATGACAATCAACACTATCCTAAAGTATTATCAGAACTGTGATGTCTCTAGTATAGAAAAGCATCAAAGCTACTTTGGAGGAGCAAGGAGATATCACAAACCTTGTTTTTCTCAATAGCATCCTCACCCATTCTCCATGAAAAATCCTTCAACAAGAGAAGCCTCCACTTTGGCTTGAAAAAGTGATGCCTCCATTGTTGACCCATGATTGACTTCATGCTCAATGTTTTGATCATAAAAAAACAAAATTAATATTGTTTCTAACAATTCATTTTGAGTAATAATATCAATTAAGCACTAAGTACTCAAGTCAAATCATTCGAGACAAAAAAAGATCAAGAGCACGAGATACGACATAGAAGAAAGAGGTCAAGATCGAATTCACACATTCAAGAATTTAAGAGAGAAACTTAGGAGGATGATTAAAGACTTGATTTCTTAGACAAAATGTAAAGGTACTAGTACTTTGATACTTGGCAATAAATGGTTAAGTTCAAAATTTTTCAATGCATTAAAAATAATTTTTGTGCATTAAAAGTCATTCCAATGCAACGTTCAAATATAAAAATGACTTTTAAAAGCGATATTTGGACTTTAAAAAATATTTTTATCATGAAAAATTAGTTAAAAATATTTTCTAAATGTCCATGCACTTCAAAACTTTCAAAATCAGAACAAACAAGACCAAAATATAAAAATACATCACTACCAGGGCGGTCAACCACCTAGAGAAACGGACGACTGGATCGATCAACCGACCATAGGAGGTGGTCGACCCTACGCCCGGTCGCCCAGAGAGGTGGTCGACCGGCTGAGGAGGTGGTTGATCGGACCCCCTCTA